CTGGACCGAAAGGCTGATCCTAATGCCCGAGCCCTTAATGGCTTTACTCCACTCCACATTGCTTGCAAGAAGAACCGCATCAAGGTGGTTGAACTGCTTCTCAAGCATGGTGCTAGCATTGAGGCAACCACAGAGGTTAGTTGGTGTAAAAAATGTAAATCTTTACTGTAAAAGAGATGTTTGAATTGGATGGTAAAAGAGATATTTGAATTACATGGTGTTTGGTTGGTAATTTTTCAATATAATGTTTTTATAATGTTTACCATTTATAATAGATATTTCATATATATTAACCAACATTTGGGTAAGAAGATATTATGTAAGTTTGAAAGGATTTTACTTATTTAATTTCTTTTACAGTCGGGTTTGACTCCACTTCATGTAGCATCTTTCATGGGCTGCATGAACATTGTAATCTACTTGATTCAACATGGAGCCTCTGCAGATGTACCTACTGTTAGAGGAGAGACTCCTCTCCACCTTGCAGCAAGAGCTAACCAAACAGACATCATCCGCATTCTGCTAAGAAATGGTGCTCAGGTGGATGCTAGAGCGCGGGTAAATATTCATTGCACTGTGTTTGTATTTAACCCCTAAGTCTCTAAAGTTTTAATAGTTATGAAAAGAAATTCAGAATGAGAGTATCTTTTTGCCAAATATAAGTATATAATTACCCATGCAGCTAGGAAATTTTATTACTTAAAAATTCATTCCTTGTAGGAACAACAAACCGCTTTGCACATCGCCTCCCGTCTGGGTAACAGTGACATTGTTGTACTATTACTCCAACATGGAGCTGCTGTTGATGCCACAACCAAGGACCATTACACTGCCCTGCACATTGCTGCCAAGGAGGGTCAGGAGGAGGTGGCTAGTGTACTCCTTGAGCATGGTGCCTCCTTGACCTCCACCACAAAGAAAGGTTTCACACCTCTTCATTTAGCAGCTAAATATGGTAATATGAAGGTAGCCCGCCTGTTGCTGCAAAAGGATGCCCCTGTTGATGCACAGGGCAAGAATGGTGTTACACCTCTTCATGTGGCAGCACATTATGACCACCAGGTAAGTTATTGAGTTACTTTTACTGTAGAACCCGACAATACTTCATGACTATTTATCTTTGTGCCATGATTTTGTATTTATCTTTCATGCATTAGCTGTAAAAGCCACAGCAAAAAGAAAGTAAATGAAATAGTGTAAGTAATATAGTCTCATTTGTCTAATTTAACCAACTATCCTTTTCAGAATGTTGCCCTACTACTGCTGGATAAGGGTGCATCTCCCCACGCCACAGCTAAGAATGGTTACACGCCTCTCCACATTGCTGCTCGCAAAAACCAGATGGATATTGCAACAACGCTGCTTGAATATGGTGCAAGTGCCAATGCTGAATCTAAGGCTGGATTCACACCTCTACATCTTAGCTCCCAGGTATTGCCTCCAACTTCTAAGTTAATTGAGTAACCAATAATGACAGTTTTATACGTAAGAAAGTATACATGTGTGATATACATTTGAAATGTTTAATTTTCTTTTCTTTTCAGGAGGGACATACAGATATGGCAACACTCTTAATCGAGCACAATGCTGCACCAGGAGCTTGTGCAAAGAATGGACTTACCCCATTGCATCTGTGCGCACAAGAAGATCGTGTCAATGTTGCCGCTATTTTGGTGAAGCATGGAGCCCAGGTGATTACTTCCTACCAAGATTAGATGGAGAGATATGACAAAATGTGGTTTCTTGTGGTGATTACTTGTATAAAAAAATTTCTTTTGATATAGTATTAAAAAGTTTTTACTTCCTTCTTTTCAGATTGATCCAGCAACAAAGGCTGGTTATACACCATTGCATGTTGCCTGTCACTTTGGGCAAATGAACATGGTGCGCTTCTTGCTACAGCATGGTGCCAAGGTTGAGTCTTCAACACAACTTGGGTGAGTGGTTTTACCTTTTAGTACTGACCATTTTAAGATATTATAGTCTTTTCCTTTGAATGGAATTGATCATAACCAGTTGAGAAGTAATCTACAGGTTCAACATCAATTGTTCAGCATTTACTGGTGCAGGAACTTTACTCATTTGGGACTTAAATCTAGGTATCATTAGTTTACACTATGGTTGCTTGGCTAGTTGTGATTTGACCCACACATTTACATAGAAATTTAGGTCATATATTGTATGGATAAAAAGTATAGTTATTTGAAATATACAATGTACCTGTAGGTAATATTTTATTTCAAAATATATTTTTTATGTATTACAATTGAAAGGTGAAATGATGTAGCTCAACATGAGATGAAAGCTTATATCTTGTGGAGGTAATGAAAAGTCATTAGTTTTCCATATAGGCTTTTGAGAGAATTAGAAAAGTGTCAAGTGGCCTATCCCTGATAACATGGTCCCACAGGAGATATAATGGGGATAAAGATAAAGGTGCAAGATAAAGCTGATAAGATAGGAGCCTTATGTGTCCCAGCAGTCAGTCTCATACAGAACCTAAATAACAGAACACAGTATTACCTGATGATTTAGATCTAATTTACTGGGCTTGCTTTATTTTGTATATTCGATTGATAATTTTATTTTCCAAAAGAGTTGACAGTGTTTCTTTTTGTGTAAGGGTCAAAGTTTGGAAAGGGAGTGTATCTTGTGCATATGAAGAGCAACCCAGACTTATTAAACATTATTGATTACTATTATTATTTTTGATGATTATACAAAAGTAAGTACATATATGTTAGGTGTATAGTTTGCTTTCATTTCATTTGTAGATTATATTTTGTAAATCAACGTAAGCTTTTTACTTGTTTTTATTTTCAAACACAGATAGATAATGCATTTTTTAGAGTAATATATCTGTAGTGCATATATTGTCAAAGAGAATATTTATTAAAAGTTTATTAATTCTTTATAGAATATTTCCTGTAAGAGATGAAGTTATAGAACAGCTAAAGTATAATGTGATATATCCCCAACAGGTACACTCCTCTCCACCAAGCAGCTCAACAAGGCCACACTCAGATTGTCAACTTGCTCCTCGAAAACAAGGCTGAACCGAACGCAGAAACAAAAGTGAGTCATGTTTTGTGCAAATGTTGAAGTCTGAATGATTGCTTCTATGCGGGTGGGTTTCCCTTGTATACCCATATATACATATGCTTGTGCTTGTCAAACTGGAAATGAGTGAATGTAAATGTGAGAATAGAACAGTTTCCCCTTTTGACTGCTACTGTGTGAAAAAAAAAAAGATTTCACCTGTAATTGTATTAGAAGTGACCGAACAAAGTACTTGACATCTTATTGAAATGGTCTTTTTTCACAGTTAACTGAGTTTGTATTGATATGAAATTTAAAAAATTGATTATACCTCATGTGACATATATTTTATATACATTTTATTTTTCACTTTTCTGAAAAGTACTGAAATTTGCTTGGTATACCCAGTTTTATGAAACAACTAATACATTCCAACTCTTCAACACAGGACGGCAAGACGGCTCTAAGCATTGCACAACGTCTCGGCTACATTTCTGTAGTCGAGACCTTGAAGATTGTGACAGAAACGACCATTACTACTACCACCACAACTGTCACAGAAGAAAAGTACAAGGTTGTTGTGCCAGAGACAATGCACGAGACCTTTATGAGTGAATCAGAAGATGAAGGAGGTAGGTGTTTCACTGATAGATTAAGAATACAAGTTGGTATTGTTTTTTCATGTGAATCATTTCATTTTGGTTTGGAAGTTTTGCAAAGAGATATGTTTTGGAGTTTTTCTAATTAGAATTCTTTTTGGACTCGGTTGTTGATGTGAAGGTGTTGAACAGTGAATTTTGTTTGGTTTGTAATATTCTGCCAAAATTCAGTCAGGTTTTTCATTGCTCATGTTGATGGTTTTACGGGTTGATTATTCTATGTTTTAGCCAGATGAATTTACCTTCAATCTGATGACTGAACTTTAAACTTAGATTTTTCTTTTCCTTTTTTTTATAGTTATTGCAATACAGTCTTTCTTGCAATTAGTAGTCATTGTCTCAGTAGACATGATCATTTGTGTATATATTTCATTTTTGAAATTGAGGTATCTGAACCAAGCAGTGATATTTTATTTGCATACTTCTATAGGATTTTTTTGAATATATAAATTAAAGGAATATGGATTTTCTATTATTTTTTGTCTTCTGCTTATTTGCTGAAGCTGTTGGTTAGCTAAGCTTTATATATTTGTACATATAGTAATCATCTGCTTCAGTTTGGCACAGTGGAAAAGAAAAAAATCTGCCTGAAAATTGAGATACTTTAAAAGTTTTTGGCATTTCCTTTTTAGACCATTTTTGTAGACATTGTCATCTAAGGATCTCTGAATAGTTATTGAAAAAAAGAGTAGAATGAATGGCAATGGAACTCTGTCTTATGCTGGCTTAGTACTTTTTTAAAAGCTTTGCACTTACCGATATCAGTGTGATATGAGTTCACTGGGAAAAGGCATTATCTTCAGTGAGAATGGATGGTTGTGCGTGGTTATGCATTTGTTATTAGAAGTTTGATCGGAGAGCTGAGTGCAAACCATTATCTTTGTATTGGTTCTTGAAGCATGGTCTAGAATGTATTGGGAGATACTTTTCAGTGCTAGGTACAGTTTGAAGAACTGACAAAAGCCTCTTTTTTTTTCTTCTTGATTATTTGACCAAGTGTGTTTGATGGATCTTTAGTTAATAATCCCAGGATAATAGATGATTGGTACTGTTTAGTTGGAATGTTACGAGTGCCTTCTATTTTTTGGTTTTCTTTGTCCCTGACTTGATACTGAAGAAGTGTGATGTCATTTTTTAATACCTTATTGTTTGAAATAATATCTTTTAGGATTTGTTATGATTTTCTTTTTTTATGTGTTTATTTACTACTTTTTTTATCACACAAACTGACTTCCATATTTTTTCAATGAATGACATATTGACTGGCACACAGGACGTCTGCTTATGTTACAGTTACCTTTGCCAATAATTTAATGCTTTTTTAATGCACATTATTGCATTGATATGGCATGCAGCCCCTTTTAAAGCAGCACGTAATCATATCTTGCAGTTTGTTTATATTATGTATAGTTTCTTTATTTTATTTCTTATTTGTTTGTTTAATTTGCATGCAGGGTCTGCTTATTATTTCACTGCAGATAAGATTTTAAAAATCATTATGTTTTATTGCTCTTGCTTTTTTTTTTTTCTTAGTTTATTTTCACTGATAAGCAGATAAATTCAGAATACATTCTATGTTCAATAAATTGAAATGTGAAGTGTAATTTTAGCATGTCGTTGCCTCTGTATGAATGAATTTTTTTAAGTAGAAGTTCTTGTTAAAGGAATATAATTATATGCATGAGAGAGCAACAGTGCAGGGCATTCTCAAGAAGCATCGTCAGCCAGAAGGGTAAGGAGCAGCCATTACTCTAAAGAGACGTGACGAGTGACAGCATCGTGACAGAGTGTAGTTTAGATTTTGCTTATGATCCTGATTTATCCTTGATTTCTTGAGTCCTTTTAGTGTTTGCGCATATTGATGTTGATATTAGTTGCCCAGAAAGTTATTTCATTTATAGTCTGGTTATTTACTGACCCAGTAAAAGACATATGCAAATAAGCTATGATGATTAGCACTGCAATGGTTGGGCACAGAATACAATCTATTTTGTTTACATGACTGTAAGAGATCATTCTATAGAGATGTGAAGTTGATTTATGTAAAGTAATTTGCATGGTGCACTAAAACCTCATAATATATCATTGCATTCAATTGAAAATAAATAATTGAAGAATCAAGAAGGGATATCAGGACATTATGTTGTTTCTTTCCAGTAACATTGCATGTGATGAATAAGCAAAGAAATGTGATATGCAATGACACTGAATGATAATGAAGTGTGTTCATAAAATTTCCATCCAGAATTGACCTTTAATAAGTTTACCAGACTTTATTTCATATTTTTTTATCTGTCTTCTTAGTTGCCCATTGTTAACATCAAACTGAAACTGGAAAACATATTTTACATCTCCCTAATATAATTATGTGTGTATTCATGAAAAGTCATCCTTATAAACTGTTATATCAAGCTTTTGAGAGTATCACATTGGTATCATATTACCCTGTTACATATAAAGTTGCTCATAGATCATAACCTTTGTTGATGTTGTTATTTCTTATTGTAATGTGTAGCTTTGGGCTGATACATTATTCCTGTATTTAGTATTGTATTTTTATTTGTCTGAGGAAACATAGTTTTGTCACTTGGATGGTAATGTTATTTAAGCAAAGATCCCGTGTAAATACTGCAAGTTGCATGGAGTTACTAACTGAAAATTTTTAACCAGGAGTAATATGAAATACATTTTTGCTAAAATAATTTCAGTTATGAAGAATTTATTGCAGTCCTAAGCATGATTAAGAAGTCAAGACTATAAGACCCCGTTTGATAACTGACACTCTCCTGGTGCTTGCCTAAGTTTTATGATGTATGTTGACCCATTTTGGATTTGAACCTCAACTTGATTTTTGGTGTTCAGATTTGAAGTAGCAATTTACCAAGATTGATGAATTATGTATGGCATATATAGCCATCTGCTGAAAAAATTTTAATGTAAAAGACTTCAGCAAGCACTCTAAGACAGACATAGACCTAGGCGTGACAACACTGCAGAAAGCTGTTGCTGACTAACCCTTGTCCGTTGTGGGTGTTGTTTGTGTCCAGGTGACGACAATCTGGTCTCCTCCATGTTTGGTAAGCAGCAGCACGTCACGCTCCCGTTCTATGAAGGACAGTTACGCTACACCAGTAAGTCTTAATTATGAATGATAATATCAGGAATGTAGCTCTTCTATGCGCTTTTTGGGAAATCCAGGAAAAATTCAGAATGTTTCTAAGACTTTGTCAAGATTTATTTTGATCTGTTATTATGTGTATGTATATTTTAAGGTTAAGACAGGAATAAGACAGCTGTAAGAATTACCTAAAATTTGAGGTTTAGAATACATTAACAGTGCAGTTCTTGATTTTTCCTGCATTGATATCTTGTCAAAGCATGACAAGTTGTCCTTTCCGTGTTAGTGGTGGCTTATTGCATGAATACAGAATATCAGATTATTAGTGTTGCTTATGCTACTGTATAAGCTCAGTATTCAAGGACAGAATTAGTGCTTAAATGATTCAGTGTTAGCATGGGGACAATTTGCTATCAGTAAGGGATTATTCTTGCATGCAAAAAAAAAAAAAGAAAAGAAAAAAACAATCTGATGTTTCTACAAGGTCTCAAGACATCCTTGAATGGTACTGAAAAAGGTTTCCTAATTTACTGGAATGGAAATCCTCTGTAGTATTTGAATCAGCTACATATTAGCAAGCTTTACATTATTATACATTATGTTCATCTGGTCATTACTAAAACTATTGCCTGTTATTGGGCAAGTGATTTTGCAATGTTTCTCTGAATGTATTATAACAAGTTT